ATTTTGCTTTGGATTGTCAACTAAAAAGTGAACTTTTTCCTTTGTACTTCCCATGGAGACTAACAGCTTCCCTTCTTTAGCTCTGTGAAATTTTGGAATGAGTATTAAAAAATAAAAATATTAAGGTTCCAGAGACTCAAGCAGCATAGAAATGCTTGGAAGCACTTCTGATTCTTAAGATTTTTATTCTTATCTTGATTCCCCTATTCCCAACTCTTGATGACACCTTGGGAAACATAGGAAAGTGTAGAAAAGATCCTCAACTGCTTATCTGTCTTCCATATTCTGCTGGTATAACAGAAATAACTTCCATTAATGTGTTGGTTTATTTCTAGGCATCTCAGTGAGAAATTGATGACTTTGGGGCAAGGGAACTGGGCAACGGTGAGACAGGAAGGCAGACAAGGTGGTCAGTTCTCATGTGTAATTCTCAGTGCCTTTTCTGTGGGTTTTTTGCATGTGTTTAATTGCCTTGCACCCAAATGCAAAGCAAACTGCTTTGAACATAAATATTTCACATGTGCTTTCATGCTTTTGTAGTTGCTCACAGCTGAGAATGCCTAATTCTACGTGAAGTTCATTTTCTATCTAGTCCTTATAATCTATATCCAGCATGCTAGTTATTATTGAAGTGGATTGTTAATTTGCTCAGTAAATTACTATTAGACTGAATTAAGAAACCAGTTGTGTCTCAAAAATCTGTTTCATAATTTCTCATTCTTAACTAAGAGTTCGAACTAACTTGGGATAATGGAATTGCATTGTCTACCGAACTGAGATACTACACACACACACACACACACACACACACACATACAGAGAGAGAGAGAGAGAGAGAGAGAGAAACACGTCAGCAACAATAAAAAGAGAATTTGCTAAAATGAATTCTCTGAAGGAAAATTATTTGATTACATCTGCACACAAAATTCTGTTACTTTTCTGGGATAGAATTATTTAGGTTTCCACCTTTCTACCATTGTGGAATGTAGAGACCCTGAAGTACCAAGTTAGGCTACTCCCTTGGTCTTCGTGTCAAATCTCGGGCACCATGCTTGTCTTCTACTTACTCAGGGCCATGGGACAAGGTTTAACTCTCTGAATGTCAATTTCTTTATTTAAAAATGAGAATAAGAATACCTATTTCATACTCCCATAATTTATTAAGTTATAATTAAATAAAATTGCATATATTTACACAATACATGTATTTTGATATATATATATACACACATTATGATATATATATTGTAGTGGAATGAATAAATCAAACTAATTAACATATCTCTCATCTCACATGTTCAGCTGTGGAGATAGCATTTCAGGTCTACTGTCATGTGCAGAATTCATTGTTATTTAGTATAATCACCATATTTTACAACAGATCTCAGAATACATTATCCCATCTAATGGAAACTTTGTATCTTTTGGCATATTTCGTGTCTAGTAGAATAAACCCAGGCTCTAATATTGACCAATGAGAGAGGTACCACTTGCAGAGCTAAAATAAGTTATTTAATTTTTATGATGACAAAATGAGTAATATGAAGGAAAGATAATTTTCTGTGATTTTCTGATGATTGAGTGCATGCAAAGACGTATTCAATCTGTTAACTTTGAAGCCTGGTAACTCTGGGTGCCTCAAATCTAATAAACTCAAATATTTAAATATTTAATCAATATATTGTGGTTTGACTAAAGGAGACTGAAAATCCTTTAGCCTAGGGCTCAATGCAATTATGCTGACCACAGTTGTGAGAGCCCGCCTCCTGTCTAAGGAGAATGATGATCAACATTTGCCAGGCACATCAGCCTAACACTAAATCCACCGACCTGATCAGCTTATTGAAACCGTATCGATCATTGGCATCTGTGTTCCAGATTATGCTATTTCACTCAGTACTTAAAAATTCATCATTTTCCATTACACAAAAGATCTGACCCATTAATGTCAGAAAGCAATGCTATGTCTTTGAATTTTGATATATTTCAGATTAAAGAATCAGTCCAAGTAATATTACAAAATATTCTTATTTTTTCTTTTAATTTTAGCAAAAATACAGGTTATCGTGATCTACTGTTTTGTTATGCCCAATTACTCACACCTCTCCTGCAAAGGAATTATGAGTCTTTACTTGATGCCATGCAAATTGCAGTGAGTTTCCTCAGAGAAGACATTCTCAGCTCAGTGATACCACTACTCTCTGTCCATGTTTCCATCTTCCACCAATGGAATGACTGTAAAGTAATGTGCTAGTCGCTTTCCATCACTGAGACATATTATCTCTCACCCACAACTCAGAGAGGACCACAATAAAGGAAAAAGAAAAAAATTATCAGAATATTTTCTAGTATTACTTGGACTGATTCTTTAATCTGAAATATACCAATATTCAAAGACAAAGACATTTATTTGGCAAACAGTTTTTAGTGGGTTCAATCCACTTGGCTGGCTCCTAGAAATGGCATGGTGAAAGGACCTGGCAGAGGACAACTACTCACCTTGTGAAAGCTAGGAAGCAGAGAGCAAGGGAAGTTGCCTGGGACCTTCTTGGTCACACCCTTCTAGGTTACATCCCCAATGACTCACTTCCAACCATCTCCTACCAACAGATTCAGCTACTGAACTCATCAATGGATAAATCCACCGATGAGCACAGTGTCCTGATGATTCAGGCATCTTCCAGACATATTGTTGTGGTCAGGGTTTACAAGGGAAAAGATTTAATGCAGGACATGTAATTTATAGGATTATTTTATAATATTCACCCAAAAAGTAAAATATAAAAGGATTCATGAGATCTCTACACAAACTAGAGACCCAAGTAACTCAGCTGGGGGCCTGCATCCCATGGCAATGTCCTGCATGAGTCCAGTTGGAGATCTAGAGCTCACGACAATGTCTTATGAAAGTCTGTATTGAGGATCTGCACTAGGAAGGCTCAAAGTTCAGCAGTGGAAGCTAGAAAGTCTGCACCAGTGACATGAAGGATCTGTGCCAGCAGGCTGAGGGATCTGCACTGAAGATAGGAAGCCATGCTCAGGGTAAGGACTCCGAGCTCCCTGAATAAAAGCACAGCCATCCCCAGCAACAGTGAGGACCCTAGCTCCTCCGATGAGAACAGCTGAGTTCCTATCAGGGAAACCAGTGTGACAAGCTTCTCCAGGGAAATCAGTGTGAAATGCACCATTTTCCCCTCCAGTTCTTCCTTACATTGCTGGCAACAATCCTCAGGTGGGCCTTCCACACCCAGAGCGAGGCTCATTCAATTGAGTTGGGTGTTTCAAGTTGACCGTTAGTCTACCACACGCATGAAAATTTTGGGACATATTTTAGACGTAAACCATAACAAGTAACATGAGTAATGGTTTAACATTCATCTATGATTTATCCGTTTCATTTTTATTCACGAAAAGGAAGACATGTCCTAAAGCAAGGCTGCTGCTTCATTTGCCATTCTAGTGTAAACAATACATACTAAGCAATCTGTGCAGCTTTGAGGAAAAGAAGAAATGATCTGTATAAGTCTTGCAGCTAAAAGTTGCTGGATTTTTGAAGATGTTGGACATTGCAGTAAAATGCAGTAAATACTGGCTTTTGTGCTTAGCAAGCATTCTGAATGTAATGAGAAATGTGAATTGTCTCTGGAATTTATGACAGCCTAAGATGATCGAACCTTCTCAATATAGATTTCCTTTCTCTTCTTTTCCTTCTCTTTTCTTCTCTCCTCCCTTTCTTTTCTCTTTCTGCTTCTCTCCCTTTTCTTTTCCCTTTTCCTTCTTTTTCCATCCAATATATAAGACATTTCTACATCACAGAAATTATTCCTTGAAAAAATAGTAAAATAATATGTATGATATATAAACTTTATATATCATATACTTAGTGTTATATTTAGTTTTGTTACATACTGTATCATATATTTCTAAGTAAATATCATTGTAATTTTCTATATACCTATAGAATATATATATAGAATATATATTATACATATATGCAGAAAGAAAGAGAATATATATATTCTATATGTTCTATTTCTATATGTATATCTTTCTCCGTATCTGTATGTATAGCTATATCTTCTAATGAAAAATTACTTTGGGGTCTGACAGAAAAAAGAATTTGGGCTCAGAGGTGACCTTACAAAAGCCAAAAAATAATCAGGATTTCAACCCATTCCGTAGCCTCCAGTCATGAACATTTCTCAGTCTCTTCTGTTGCTTAATTATCATTCAAAATACATGATGTTTCTAGAAATGTAGAATGAATAAGATAGACATATTTGTAACTCAACGGAGAAGAGACAGTTTCTAAGTCAGAATGCCCACAGATCTTCCTCATAACTCCATCTAAGGGTAAGTTAATCTTAAACAGATTTTCTCAGTGCCAGCATACTGGTGATATGTTACCCTCTTTGTTTACTTTAGACATTGAAACAATTAAATGTTCTAATATAATCATCCTAATTTCAAGGGCATGATTTAGAAAATTGAAGACAAAAATTTTAGCAGAATGAAATTAATATATTTTCATTTCTTTGGCTTCAGAAAGTAAAAGTAAATCATTTTTTTTTCTCATAGAAAAATTGAAAAATGTAACAGCTGTAAAACTAAGATGAAAACTGCCAGAATTAATATAATTCTCTTAGTGTATATTTATATTTCATTTTAAAATTTGCATTTACTTTTTAAATAAAATTTATTTAAAAGGAAAAAGAGAAAAAACAAAACAAAACAAAGTGGTGCAAGGGTACAAGTAATACAGACCACAAAAAAAAGTAAGAAATCACCAGTTAATAGATTACACATTAACATCTTAGAGATAGTTGCTCAAGTCACAGTATCAAAGCATACAAAGTGGACATTCAAACAGTGAGACAAAATTTGCATTTACTTTTAAAATTGTGTTACAAGATTACTCTAAATTTCAATTGGTAAATTTGTTCATTAGGTAATTTATTCAACACTTATTATATAGCTGCTTTCTCTTATCTCTCCTATAGATACTGTGAATCTAACAGACAACCCTCTGTCCCAGGCATCACATGCTGTATGGAAGATGGAAAAAGAACTTGTTGTAAAAAAGTCAATAAAAATGGTTAGATTTGGAGACACAGCTGTGAAGGAGGTAATCAGGTTGAAGATGATGGGGATGCTTGCTTTGAATAGAGTGGTAAGTTGGAGAAGTAGTGATGGAGTAGAATTCTAAAGGATGAGAGTGAGCCTGCCATGTAAGGGGCTGGAGAAAGACCCCTATGGAGAGAAACGGGGAAAGCCATGGATGTAGGAATGTGTGACCTATGTGGGACAGGAAGGAGGCCAGGTGTTGACCTGAGCATATGAACAGGGTGAGAATGGTCTGGAGGGATGAGGACCTGAGGAGAATGTAGTTTTTCTGTTGTGGAGCAGAATTTAATTAGACACTTACATCATTTTTTGTAACAAAGGGAATCCATCAAAATGATCACCTATAATCAGTGCTTTAGCAAGTTCCCTTCAGATACTATACAGCAAAATAGACCAAGAGAGAATATAAATGGAAACTCTCATTCTACTACCTATGTCATTATTTGTCAAAGTCTTCTAGTATGTCAGAAGCAATCATAACTCATTTTGCAAAGATTTAGCTAACAGAAAGAGGATGTTTCATTTAGGAATTTAGGAGGGAAAGAAGTAATAGACACAAAAATATCTCAGTTTTATGTTTCTATAATGGAATCCCACTGCCTGAGTAATTCCTGTTTCTGGAGGCTGGAAAGCCCAGTATTAAGGTGCTGGTATCTGGTGAAGGCTTTATTGGTATCACACAACATCACAGCACAAGAGCGTCATGGGACAATAGAGCACAAGGCCACACAAAATTTTGTCTCCCTTTGCCTTCTTATCAAACCACTAATACCATCATGGGAGACCCATCCTCAGAACCTATCCAACTCAGTCACCTTGCACGGCATTTTACCTCCAATCATGGCTACAGTGAAGAACAAGCGTCCAACACATGAAATTATATATATATATATATCCAGACCACAATAAGTAGTTTAGACAAGATGAAAAGAATTTGAACAGATTTGAGGTATGTTTTAGGAACAATATCCACAAGATTTCATGATGCATTAGATGAGGAATATAAAAAATAACAATCAAGAATGTTTAGTAGTTTTTTTTTTTTTTTTTTTTTTTTTTACTCTAGACACTACACAAAAGGCATGAAAATGTTTTTCTCAGATGGGGAAAACTTGGGACACCAGAAGCAATGCATTATGGTTTAGATCTCACACATCTCTCCAAAGTCTTATGTGTTTGGAGGGCACCTGCATTGAGGGTGTGCTATGCTCATTGGTAAACTCATCCATCGGTGAGTGTGACACAGAATGGGCTGATAGGAGGTGGGGCTGGTTTGGAAGCTGGTGGCTGTGAGTGTGCCTTGAAAAAGTACATTCTTGTCCCTGGCTCCTCCGCTCTCCCCTGCTTCAAGGCTGCCATGGGATGAACAGCTTTCATTCAGCTATGCCCTTCCACCATGCATTGTTGCCTTGAAGCCAGGCAACTTTGAACTAAATCTTGCTTCCTTTAAGTGTCTTGTATTTTGTCCCAATGAGGGGAAGCTATGGATACAAATGGGACAAGAGAATCAAAACTTTCACACTGGATTGTGAAAGTTTTTGAAGAATAAATTAGTAAAAATACCAATAATCAACTGTGGGTTCCAAAAAGCAGGTATTGGTTTGAGCATCCATTTCAAGGAGCAGACATTTAGACTAGAGGTTAATAAACTACAGCATGGAGACTAAATGCAGTCACTGTCTATTTTTGTCTGGGTCTGAAAGTTATGAATTCTGTTTCATGTTTAAATGGTTGGGAAAAAGTCAAAACAAAAAATGTACTTCATGACACATGAAAATTATATGAAACTCAAGCTTTAGTGTCCATAAATAAAGCTTTATTGGAACATGGCCACACTTGTTCATTTATGTGTTATGTACGGTCATTTTCATGCTACAGAGGCAAGGCTGAGTAATTGTGATACAGACCATATGGCCTGCAAAGCCAAAAATATTTACTACATGACTATTTATAGAAAAAGTTCGCCTACCACTAATTTAGATGATATTAAACCTATGGGACTGGATGGTAGGAATCGCAGACAGTTTTGCTTCGCCTGAATCCAGCCCAGATGTCCTGGAGGAATGTGGGAATCTGGGGTGAAGGCCATCTATCCCCTTGCCTGCTGTGAGCCCCACTTGTGGGCTCTTTAAGGAAGGAACAACATCAGAAGAGAATGATGAATAGAGAAGCCAGACAGGGTGCCTGCATTGCAAGCTCCAAATTAACTGTACAGTGAACAGATTTGCAAAGTTAAAAAAACACATGGGAAAAGAGCCTTCTGTTTATTTTCCCCCTCTTATTAATTTACCACAACCACCATCACATATCCTGGTTTCTGTTTGGGAAGAGTGGCTGGCAGGGCCAGCAATCAAAAAGCAGCTGGGAAACCCCAAGAAATTATGGCACTCTCATAAAAGAATCAAAGGACAATGTTTTTCAAACCACTTGAAAAACTGAAGAGTCCATTCTGGTCATGTTATTGTGTTTTTGGTGATGTGTTAACAACTGTAAAGAAGGACACCAGCAGTTATGGACTGGAATGGAATGTTTTCAATGAAATTCCAGGTCCTAAAGGACAGGATTCATGGGATCTATTAGGGAGGTCTATGCTTTGGCATGAAAATAGTGCCCATGAGGTATCTTAACTAAGAACCCAGATGAGTTTTTAGTAGCACTTCAAACAAATGAATGTTTATAATGCAGCTCAGAAACTATTGTGCCTTAACTATTTCTACTTCTGCATGTTGTACATAAATTCTCAGTCCTGATGGGGTAGTCTGTACGTATCTCAGAAACAATGATAAATATTCTTTTTGGGAAAGTTTACCTGACAGAACTGAGAAAAGATGGAGCCTTCAACTATGTACTTCAGGAGCAATTTGAGAGTGACTAGCAAAGAAACCACTGAATCTTAAACAAATAACCCCACCCACTTTATTTCAATTTTTACACAAAGCATTTGGGCATAGATGGCATTTTATTAGTGTTATGAAATATTGTCATGAAATAAGGAAGATGCTTCACCCATTCACAGCTTTTCAAAGATTTTTGCTGCTTCTAATTGTGGTCAACTACCTTCTCTCTGCTTATAATGCATACTTATAGGGATGTGTCACCTTTGCTACTTTCTGGTCACTTCAGTGTACCCACCTATTTACCTATATATGCAAGAGTGTCAGAAACTACAATGAGAGAAAACATTATCCAAGCCATTATCGGTTGAATCATTATTATACAAAAATTAGAATTTATGTACAAATAGTTCCAGGTATAAACTTTGGTGCATATATTAAAGTTTCTGGACTCTGTCAGGAAATTTTGTCATTAAACAGGATCACGAGAGTATTTTGTTATAATGTATAACAAAATATAATGTAATTTAGCTCTTTCATAGATGTGTACATCTGTACACATATATTCACACTACACGATATATGGATCATTATTTTGTACATTTCTTAAGCCCAGTGGATAGTCAATAAATTTTAGAAGAAAGGAACACCAAAGCATTCATATATATGAATAAACAATTTGACCTTCTACTGTCCATGCCAATGTCTTCCTCACCTTTTTGTCAATAAGTATCTTTTATTGGCATGATACATATTTTGTGGCAAAATGTGATGGTTTAGTACATATATACAATATGTAATGTCCAAATCAGGATAGTTAGCATTTTCATCCACTTAAATATATTTCACTTTTGTGTGTGCGTTAGAGATAGAGAACTTCAGTCTCCTGGCTTTTAGTAACCTGTAAAATATGTACAAATTGCTGTGACCTATGGTTGCCCTCGTGTGCTGCAGAACACAAGAACTTATTTCACCCAAGTAACTGCACTCATTCAACCTCCCTGCCCCTCTGCTTCTTTCCTAACCTTAGTGACCACTGTTCTACTCTTCTATGAGACCCACAGTTTTAGGCTCCCTATATGGTCAAGAATGTTCAGTGCTTTTGTCTTTGGTGCCTAGTTTATTTCACTTAGCGCGGTGCCCTCCAGTCTCATCTGTATGCCTGCACATTACCAGGTTTCATTCTTCTTTGTGGCTGAATAATACTCTATTATGCATGTGCACAATGTTTCTCTTATAGATTCATCCATTGACAACATCAGTGCCGACATTTTTTTGTAATTCCTTTGTGCATGCACAAATTTCAGTAAATGCTGGATTATTTCAGATTAAAATACGGTATTTTAACTATACATAAAGTATTTTAATATCTAGTTTCTCATTTAGCTCTTTCTACAAATTAAGATTTTGTTTATTAAATATTGGGAAACAAACCTGGGTCCTTCACTTTGAGCTGTACCCTACTCTATTTTCTTTCTTTTATTTTGAGACAGATTCTTACTAAGCCACTATGTGACTGAGACTATGCTTGAACTTGTGATCCTCCTACTGCAGCCTTTCAGAGTGCTGAGATTACAGATGTGTGTCACCATGCCTGGCCCACCAAGTATTTTTATCTTAAAATGAGAAAACTAATCAGAGAAGTTAAGTACTTGTCTCAAGTTTGTCAACAAGGAAATCATCATATTAAGAATCAAATCAAATCTCTTTTTTACATTGCCCACTTTCTGTATAGTGTTGTTACATCTGACACCCATCTCTCATGTACGAGTGGAGGTGTGACTACACTCTCGATTATTGAACAGTAGACCTTTCATGAACAATTTGTATTGTCACATTTAGAGTCACTCAGCCACGCTGGTTCAGCATGTAGTTTATCTGTGCCTATGACATCATTTCCTTTTATCCTTCCCAATTTAAAGGTTGAAGATTTTCCTTGTGAAAACTCACTGAAATTAGAATGCATTTTTTCCTCTTTGTTTTTTTTTTTTGGGGGGGGGGGTGCATGTTCCTTTTCTGTGTATTTTTTAAGTTTTATTATGAATCTCATAAAGAACTAAAAGGCACACATTACAAAATACAACTCATACTTCCTACAATTAAGAAAAAAAATCACTTTGGGATGAGAAGAAGGTAGGGAAAACCTTCCTTGGTG